TTTATTCATGTTTTTTTTCTTCTTTTGTTTATAATTCTCGTTATTCTCTTTATTGTGTTATTGTGTGAAATTGTATCTTCATTTTCATTTTTTTCACCCGTATATATCTTTCTTTATCAACTTTATCTCCTCTACTTTTTGTGGACTTCATGATAGTAACATTAACCATTTTATGAATGTAGAAAGTGATTTTTCATTTACATATTCATTATTCTTTTCTTTATTTTTCTTTTATATCTTCATTTATAGTCAACCATTTTTTCCATCAACTCGTAAAATTTCTTCCTTTTGTTTGAATATTTTCAAGTTGTTTGTATATTTAATAACACAAAGTTTGTGTTCAAAAGTGTTAGATATTTTCGAAAGGGGCTCACAATAGAAATCATAAATGGGGCATGAGTACACCATATAAAAAATGATATTACTTTCAACCTAAAATCTATAAGACATTAGGTTAGGAATATTTCTTACTCATAAGTTACTCAATTTTCTTATTGTTACTCAACGTGAGATTTTAAATCACACTAGGATTCCTAATCATCTCCCCCTTCAAGTGTGATTGACTTCCACGTTGAATCACCTCCCACTCAATCGAAAACTTTTATTAAGCATGAGTACCTAGTAATCATCTTACTTTTACTGTCGTTCAACTCAACAAAACTTATTTTCCTAAAATTCTTGTCAAGAAGACTTGCAACATAAGGATCCAAAATCTCATATCTGTCACCTACATCATATCGTACTCAACTAAACCGGCCACACACAAATCATCAACTCTAATACCATACCACTATTGAGCATTTCTGACGAGAGCTAACAATAAGTAAAATTATTACTAATGGACATTAGTCAATTATATAAGAGAATATGACATCATTTTTAACCTAAAACCTTAAGACATTAGATTATGAGTTTTCTTTAGTAATCAAGCAATACTTAACAAATTTTGGTTAATCTCGGGAACAAATAAAACATCAAAATTTAAGTTGACACTTAAATGACTTTTAAGTACAATTATTCTCATAGATTTTACATTCATTTGTTTTCCATTGTTATTTCTTGTACTTTAGAAATGATAAATTTGTTAAGCTCTTTGAAAAAATTTCAATCATGAGTCATGTGGTTTGTAATAACTATTTATAAGATAACCTATAGATTTGTTGGTTGTAAATTATGTTATTGTAAGAAAAAGTTCATCTTCTAATTTGTCCTTATAATCTTAACTACTTCTTATTGTTACAATTTTCATATCTATTTTACATGTTTCAATTTATCACATTTTCAATATTTCACATATAATCTTCATCAACACTTGTTTTATGGATGACTATTTTTCTTATAATATGAACACATAGAAAAGATACATGATTTGTCACCTTTGTAATTATTTGGTTGAAGGACACCTTTACCGGCATAATATAAAACACCTTCAACTACACGATCTTCTCTGGTGAATCTTCATACTCTTATGTATGTGAGACATGTAATACTCATGTTGAAGTAATCTTAAATATATATTTTTTTCAACAAAACAATAAATGTTTTGTATCTCTATGATATAATTACCAGAATTTTTTTCAACTAGTCTAAAATTTGAAAATTTCTTACCTAATAAATTCATTTTTTTAGTAATACACAATAATTTATTTGAATATTTCTTAATTGTCATATATTCTTTTATTTTTTTAATTCAAATTCTCTTGTCAAGTTTATAATTTTTCTATTTCAAATTTTTTTGTTCTCTTTGTATATTTCTTTCGAAAAATTTCAAATTTGTTTTGCTTATTTTAAGGACATGATTCTAATAAGAATAATTTGTAAAAAAAAAAAACATGACTTTGTGTTTTTTTTTTTTTTTGAATTTGATTTGGGTTGTGGTAAAAGTTTTAGACAAAGAATATATGAAGATATAATATTTTTCTACAATTTTTCATAAATCTAGTCCTACAAAATAGAATTATATTTTTAAAGTCCATACCTTCACCACTGAAAAATGAAAGAATCACTCGTTAGAAATTTTCTTATCTTTTCATTTTATAAGTTTAGTAAGAATAAAAAATTTAGATCCTATTATTAAGATTTTAGAGTTTTTTATATATATATTTTTAATACAACAGGATGTAGCTTTTCTTTTTGGTTTATATTTAAAGTAAAAATATAATAAAATATTAAATATTAAGTATTAATTATTTAAATTAAAATAATAATATAATATATTTTTTTCTTTTATTTTTATTAATATAAAAATATCTTAATACCTCGTTTAAATAAAACAATAATATAACATATATTTTAAATGTACAATATCAAATTTTCCAGTTTTAACAGTGATTATAATAAAAATTTTAATTATTACAAGTATACCTAAACGAGTTTTTAATTAAATATAGTTGTTAATGTTAGTTTCTATTGAGAAAATGTAATGAAATTATTAAGTTTTTAATTAAATGTAGCGGTTAATATTGTCTTTTTAACATAATACATTACATTTGTTTTAATTTAGGTTAATTATAATGAGTTAAATTGGATAATATCCCAAAATAAATCATATTATATATATACCAAAAAAACTAATGAAGAAATAAGATCAAAACTGATGATAAAATTTAAAATTGACTATATTTAGTAAAAGTTTGAAATAAACTGTATATATACAGAGACTAAAAGACTCATGAAGGAATAAAACCAAAACTCATGATCAAATTTAAAATTGGTTATATTTAGTAAAAGTTTGAAATAAATTGTATTATGATGATTTAATTGGAGTTAGAAATGATAAAACAAATTAGATTTACTGGACTAACCTAATAAATGGTGGGGTGATTCGTTTTGGCTCCTCCGCCAACTCACTAAACCAAGAATAAAACAGGACAGGCTGTTCAACTTTAAACAAATATGGATATATTAAAATAAAAATAAAAAAATTAAAATTAAAAATATTATATTTTGTGTGTTATATTATTAAAATGTATAAATATATTATAATATTATAATTTAAATTATAAAAAATATTTAATTAAATATTTTTTATAATTAATTATTTTGATACATAAATATAATATTTTTTTCAATTTGTCTACTAGAAATATTAATTAATAAATAAAAATTTAAAAATTATTCATGTAAAAATCACAAACCCATTGACAGATCAGTTGAGATCCATGTTGATTTAGATTATGACATGCTACGCCACCTCATTTTATTTTTAACATACCAGATAAATGATATGAATCAAAACAGATTAACCTATTTTTTTCATTTAGTTATACTTCAGTTTAGTTGAGGTTTACTTAACTTTTTGAAATGGGTGTCTTCTGACAGAAATAAATAATTCTATGAGTGCGGTTGATACAAATGTTCTATGAAAGAATTTTTTTTTTTTTTTAAGTTTTCGAGAAAGATGATGAATGAGATTTGTTGAGTGTTAGTGTCTTAACCGGAGAAGAGTTTAGGATTTAATACGTAGGCAGGTGGCTAAAGTGAGAGGTGAGATGATTAATAATGTTTAAATAAATAGTTTAGAGATATTCATTAATTAATTAAGAAACTAAATAAAGTTATATTGAATTTATTTTTCATAATGTAAATTTGTATTATGTAATTATAGCTTAATATTAACTATAATTTTAACTGTATATATTAGAAATTATTTTAGAAACATCTATTAAAAGTAGATCTTGACAAATAAAATTATAATTAATTAAGTAATTAAATTAATTTTACTTATTAGTAAAATTTTATTACAGACCATTATAATAATATGTTTTAATGATTGGTCATCATAGGTAAATTTAGTTTTTGCTTTTCAAAATTTAATGTCTTTAATCAGTCTCATCTGATAAATAAATTTTTTAAGCATTTAATTTAAATAAAAACATTTTATACCCGAAACTGTTTTTGAGGGTGTTACGCAAATTGGAATGATTCAATTTTTCTTTTTTTCCTTTTACTTGATTAGAGAGACAAGATAATATAAAAACATAGAAGAAATAAGGTTAGAAAAAAAAAGTTAAATATTAATTTATATTAAAGTAAAAATTGATGACAAATAAAAGTAATATCTTTAGAAAGTTGATTAATTTAGTTTATTTAATAAAAATTAGTTACTTGAATAATATATTTATCCATAAATACATGTTTAGTATTCTCATTATTACAATTACCAATTTCTAGTAACAATAGAGGTATACTATTCTCACTCAAAGAAGCTTTATTCTTTATGATAATTTGCAAGTGTTGATTTGTCCTAAAAATTTGTTGTAAGGATATACGGTTTATTGTTACATAATAAAATATGAAGATAGCATCAATATTGTTTTTTTGTTTTGTTCTTTACAAAGATATAACTTTTTCTTCTTTTCATTTGACAATTGTAATCATGATGATTAATGATGTAAATGTTAATCAATATTAGATTATGTTATAAATAACCAAAATTTGAAGCAAATTAATCATTTTTTCATATGTTTAAAGGTTTTTTTAAAGTAAATATTTTTTGTAATTTTCTTTTTTAAAGTAAATATTTTTCTAAAAAAATCCATTGGTTGATCTGGCCCATAAATTTTGTAGGCATTTTTTTTCCTATAATGTGAATATTTTTTTGTCTTGGAAACTTTTTTTATTTATTTAAAACAATTTCCCATTAAAAATAGTAAGAAAGAAATTTATTAGATTTAAAAAAAAAGGATTCTTATCTTCTAATATTTTCATTGACTAGAATAAGAGAATATTAACACAATGGAAGAATACCATAAATAAATAACTTTTAAATTTGATTAAGAGGATTTAGAAACTTTCTCAAATTTATTTATATAATATATAAACATTGACGAAAAAAAAAAGGAGAAATCACAAGAAGACAAGACATCACAACATTGAAATCAAAATCTTCTTCTTGGTTCCTTTCTGACTGATCATGTTATTACTCTGCATACTCTGTGCTTGTCATTGTTCTAACTCCTTTGCTTTTCTTCTGATTATTCATGCAGTGTTTTGTTCTGTTAAAGTTCATAAGTCACTCCCACTTTGACCATACGCTTATGAGGAATATCAAATACTTTATCAGTTTGCCTCAAGTTCTTTTTCAAGAAATTGTAAGCATAGTTTATCAGAATCCTTTTCTTTATGCTAGCTCCTTTGCTCGCAACCACCTCACTCTCACCAATCAAGTGAACAACTCCTCCTCGCACTGCTTTTTCAATCATTTCCACCTCTGTTTTAACACCCTCTTGAACCACTTTCTCTTTATCACCACCCTCTTGCATTCCATTGAACTCATTACCCTCACCACTATTCATTTTTTCTTCAGTTTTATCATTAAGTACAACTCTTTGGGATGTCAAAAATCCACCAACAATAAACTCCTTCAGCCTCTTAACCAACAAATGCTCAAAGGGCTCTTCCTCGTTGCGCACATCAGTGTATCCGTATCTGGTGACACATCGAAACACATTGAGTTCTTCATGTTCCACTTGGCGAAATAGAAACCTCTCTTCCACGGGAACTTTGCTAATAGGCAATGATTTGATGGAGACAAAGACAACCACAGAGTGCATTGCTGGAATGTTTGCCACATAATGCTCGAAAATGGGTGGAATGCCTTGAACAAGCTCAGAATAGAATATGGCAAGTCCATTCATTCGAGCTAAGTTTTTCCCAGTAGTAATCCCCTTGAGCTTTTCTGGAGAAATCTTATGATCCAATTCGTAATAGTACTTCCTTCTGTACACATCATTCCAAATGTACATGATGGCCATTAGCACGGCAGCAAAGGCAATAGGAAGATACCCTCCCTCTTTGAATTTGTAAAGCACCGAGCTTAAATAGATAAGCTCAACAGAACCAATAATAACCACATAGCTGATAACCAAAAGTATGTGACTCTTCCATATCATGATCATGATTAACACTACCAAAGCAGATGTAAGGGTCATTACGAACACCACTGCTATCCCTGCAAACACAAATTTATGTTAGTGTCTCTATGCGTAATTGAGATGGTTGTTTCTAAGACTAAAATGAAAGGTTTTAAGTGATTGACTTACCATAAGCATTTCCAATTTTTGTGGTGGTTTTAAATCCAGCTGTGACTGCAACACAAGCAATCATGAGAATGAAATTGATTTCGGGGATGTAAACTTGTCCTTCGTACTTGGATGATGTATGCACTATTTTCACACGAGGAAAACATCCAAGAGAGAGGGATTGTTGGATGATGGAGAAAGTCCCGGAGATCATGGCTTGAGAAGCTATAATGGATGCCATAACAGCAATAATAAACATTGGCCAATATAAAGGATCTGCATGATATGAAGCCTTCATTCATTAGTTGTTACAATACAAATTTGATTTGTTGCTATCATTTTGTATAAACAGGATTGACCAAGTTTACGATTTTTAATGGTAAAATTGAAGTACGTGGTATGGACTTGTAGAAAGTGTCCGAAACGAGATCGTTGTTTTTGCGAAGAAATGAGGCCTGTCCAGTGTAGGCAAGTATGAGAGCAGGGTATGTTACAGAGCACATGCTTATTTGTATGGACCGAACTGTGAAATGTCCAACATCTGCAAATAATGCTTCAGTTCCTGCCAAAAAAGAAAAAAAAAATGCTATCAACTCTAGTGTTAGGCAAATAAAAGATTAAGAACGATTAGGAGTTACACATATACAAAAAATCAAATGCACCTGTTATGGCCAGCACAACACCACCAAGAGAAATCCAAGCATCTTTCTTGTTTCTTCTGAAATAATCCACAATGTATTTTGGATTTATAGCTTTGGCAACCGTTGAATCGTACTTGATGAAATTGAATATACCAATGCCTCCAATGAAGGCGAACCACACAAAAATAATAGGAGCGAAACTGTAACCTACTTTATCAGTTCCGAATCTTTGAACCATGAAAAGGCATATCAGGATTGCTATGGATATTCCAACAACCCTACCTATGCACAAAGTGGATTTTGCATGAATCATTATCATCCAATAACTTGCCATGCCTTAAAAGTTATATCATCTTAGGTAACAGGTGTAATTATCTTAGTTCCATACATCCTGAATTCCTGATATTAGTTTTCAGTTTAGATTATTCGGTGATTATGATATGTCTGCTTGTGAAAATCATGCATTTGAATATTTGATTATAAAAAGTTGAGAAATGAATTAATAGCCCTCGCTTTATTACTGTAAACTGTATCCATCCAAAGGGGAAAGACAAGTAAATTTATCTTTTCAAAAACCTTCATTTTTCTTTTTAATGTCTTTCAATATTCTCTGTTCTGTCAGCTAGAAAATAAAAAACAGAGATGTTTAATGAATTTCTTTCAATGCTAATGCTTTTATGTTGAAAAGAAAAAAAATCCGAACTTAAAAAACAAAGAGTAAAAACCTACCCTCGGTTATTGAAGAATCAGATTCCTTGATCCCTCCAACGGCAGATAAAACTGTGAACCGAGTGAATCATTAACTATTTTATATATGTTTGAATAAATGAAAGGAAAATGATACTTTGACAACCCAAACGAAAACAAATGGAGCACATGGGTTTAAATGATATTATGACATAAAAAGAAACATAAACATAAATAAAAAGACAAAACTAAGTACCAGATATGCAAGGAGTGAGAACACCATCCCCAATGACCATTGAAGTGCCAAGCATGGTAACAAGCAAGAGGAAAAGCTTGGCAAAGGAACTACTCTCAAGCTTAGACTTAAGCCTTGAAGCCATCTTGACGCGGTTATTATTCGGCAACTCCAACATATAATGAGACACTTCTGTATCCTCAAGTTGTTGATTTGGGGTAAGTCCCACTTTCGCGTAACGACATATCAGAGAGTATAAAGCGAAAGTCCCTCCTAAAATATTTGTGTCCAACACAAATTATAGTTCATTATATTATCATTACATGCAAAAAAATTTGTTTAACTCAGTGTTGAGTGGTGCGTACGTACCATCGCCGTTATCATTGGCCCTCAAGACGATGAACACGTACTTCACAAGAGGAATGAGAGTGATGGTGTAGAAGATCAGAGAAAGAACACCCAAAATGTCATCGTTGTTCTTTATACCATTCGTGAAGGTACTTGCATACACATATAACGGTGAAGTTCCTATGTCACCGTATACAATTCCGATGCTTTGAAACGCTAGGTGCATAATCACTGACGTCGATGGCCCCTATTATGTTATGAACAACGATAATAATAATAACAATAAAAAAGAGAGAGATCAACCATGTGAATATATGCGTACTCTTGAGGCATGAGAGGATTTATGGAAGCTGCGTGATTCTATGTCGAGAGAATCATTTCTGGGCAACTTTTGCCATGAAAGCTTCTTCCCCGTGCGACCAGAAGGATGATCAGAAACTTGCTCCACATGATGGTGCTGCTTTGTATTTTCAACGTTTCCATTGCTCTCCACACCTTCTTCCACTACTTCAGAAGACATGTTGATGCTTTCGCTTGCCATGTGAACGTTCCACAGTATATATTTACGAGCTTGCACGAGATGCACGCACGCACACCTTCAATCTCTAATACAGTGAATATTGTGTCTCAAATTACACATGCATGTATCGTACGTTACGTGTACACATGACAAGATGAAACATAGTAATCACCGACCAGAGTAACTCTTCGGAGGAGGATTGCTCAAGTAATCTCTATCTATATTCATATTAAAAATTGTTGGGGGTAAATCAATAATTTTATAACTTTTCTGTCTAAATTAAAGGAATATCATTCTGAAATTAAATTATATTGAAACTACGATCTGAATATTTGATTGAATATGGGTAGAAATAGAATATAACTAATTGAAATCTTTGTATGTTAAGCATTTGGTTGATCTCTTACTTGTGTTCTTTTAGAAATATAAATCATTTACTGATATATATTTAATTAACATTATTGTCAAATTTGAAATATTTAATTCCTTTCAACAGTTTCTTGATTACTTTTTTTAGAAGTAACCCGTTTGCCAATTTATGATAAGAATAACATCTAACCACTTTAAAGATAGTCAACAGTTTCTATTGTGTTCACATTATTTTCTATTTGATTATCCCTTAGATATTAGGTGTTAAAAATGGTGAAGTTTTTTGAAAATAAAAATCGTAATATGAGGACCAATTTGAGAAGTAAACAAAGTTTGAATGCAGAGTTCATTTGCTGCCATAGCATGCTGTCTGCATCTGTTTGGAAAGTCTCAACCTGGCTAGGAATTGCCGGTTGAGTGCGAGGGAGTAAACACCTGCACCACTTCGATGTCAACGTTAATAATGTTAATTTTTATTTCTGTTTCTTATAATCATGGGAATAAAAAATAACAATAATAGAGGGTTAATTACTTGAAACGTATTGAAGAGGGTAGAGTTGTGAGACTATGATTCTGTCAACACTATGCAACATTATTCGCAGATTCCGCGTGTGCCGTTGGAATATTCCAACTTGGGACAAATTATCCGCGTCACATTTTGTTGGGCATCGTAAGTTTTACTTTACATTGATTGATGTCCAAATGAATCTTGTGATTGGATTTAACTCTCATCAACGCCATCAAAACTTTATTTCTATTTTAATTTCGTCAAACGGTGAACTTTGCAAGTTGCACAATTATTTCAAAATTCTAAAATATTTATGCCATTTCAAGGACTCAGAACGGACACCTTGGTTGATATTTGGGCTTCATAATAAAGCCCGATATGGACCTTTGGGTTTTTCAAAGCCCAGTATTCCACTTTGAAGGGATGGCAAAGTTACATTTTTTTTTTAATATTATAGAATACAAGTTAGTAGTATAGAAATGTTCACCAATAGCATATTTTGCACTCAATCTCATGCTTCTGTAGACATTAGAGAAATTCCTTGTGTTCGCTTATTGATATTGTGTTTCCTTGGACGCTTTCTATTCATACTGGTATCTCGCTCCGTGGATGTTAGTTAGATGACGGTGGAGATGACCCACCTTCAATATTAGTTATCATTGTGTTAAATCTCATTTATCATTTAATCAATTCAAATATTTTTTTCTTTAAAAATCATAATACTCATAACTTTTTAATTTACTTTAAATTTAAACACATTTTTTTTTAATTTTTCATCAAGTCTTATTTTTTTCAGCTATGATTTTTTTTTCAAATTAAGTACTTTGTTTATGTGAGTAAAAATGATATTTATTACACTACCAATGTTATTTTTATTAAACCAAATGAAAAAAAACATAATGAAAAACCTATTAAACCTAATGAAAAAAAAACATAATGAAATAGCATATTAATAAAGAACTAAGATTAAAAAATATATATAATCAACCCAAGAATATAACGTAAAAATTTCAAAATCGAACAAAAAAAGCTTACGACAATTATCTAAAGACATATAACAAATAACATTATGTAAAATTTTTTACAACATATAGACTAATCTTACATGTCCTTTAACCTCAATCCATACTCTCTAAAGTAATAATTTAAATCAAACCTCACAACATTATATAATAAGAGTATAAGAAAAGTCAAATACAAACTTAAAGTATTTTTGATTGGGGTGCCACAAGATCATGGACTTTAAATCCATTATATAATTGCTATCACCTGCTCCATTACTTATCTTAGGTGATGCGAGACTTTCCAAAATGTATTAAAATAAATACAACTTCTTTTTTACCTCTATTGCCTACACTAACAATCATTTATACTCCACCATAAAGAGTATACACACTTGAAATCAAACTATTCCAAGAATTTTATTTCACTGCACACCTATATCAATGCTAACCAATGTCTGTGTATAATCATCACACACCTTGCATCAATATAGGTAATGCTCATGCTCAATTATTACTAATAAAGACTTATCATTTTCCATGACAACACGATTATGGCATAAGGATATTTGATTCATCTTTTACAAAAAATCACCTTCTCCCAAAACGAGAGATCGTCTTAGTATCTGAATCTAACTTACAGTTTCGTGATGTTTCTCCACTTGAACAATTTATCTTTACATGCCCAGACTTTCCATATTTCCATCATACCACATCCTTTCTATGGTTCTTCTTCCCATGTGTCCCACTTCTAACAATCATCATTGAGTTTGTTGATATATTTTCGTTACTTTTCATTCTCAGAAAGAATATTACCAGTAAGTTTATCGAAGTTTCCTTGTCATACATCAAGATAGGCTTGATAAGCTCATAGGAAGCCAGAAGATACCAAATGGGTCTTATTGCTATATCTTCTTCTTCAATCTTGATTCCAATAGCCTCTTGTTAAGTGGTAAAAAGTTGATATAATTATGCCTTGAATTGTTATGAAACCACTTAACTTATGTTAATTCTAATATATTTTTCTCCCAATATAGGATGAATTCGAGAATACCTTGATACAAGAGTAAGGAGCATAATTGTCAGCATAATTGGAGTAAAATTGAAAGAAAGAAGAACGCTTAAGCGAATGAATGATGCGAGGCCCGACCCAAATTCTCTTATAAAAAGATAAGTGTATTTTGAGAAAAGCAAGCAGTCTTGGAGAGGAGGAGACACGACTACTGTTAGGGTTTTGTCCAATCTTCATCAATTGGAGCATTATAATGGCCAATATGAGTGGCTAACTTCATTCTCTTAGGATTCGATGCACTTCCTTTGAAATCTTTTGTATCATGGTGATATTTTGATATATTAATCTATGCTTTGATGTTGTTATTCTTATCATTTATGCTTTGGAATGATTTATTCTTGATGTTTGGGGTATGATTGGAAAATATTGTTAGAATTAATTTAATTAATTCATTCCATTATGTGACTCATGTGAAATATAATAATGGGTCTAAATATGATTTAATAAAATATGAGGACCTATTAGTTATTATGTGAAGTTAGAATAAAATAAAGATAAAATAAAATATTAACTTACGGTAACCAACTTGATGGATTTTGGTTAATAAAATGGAATAGGGTTGTGTCTCTGGTCATAAGGTTTTTTTTTTCACGGTAAACCATCAAGAAAGCGTGAGAAGAGAAAGAAAGACAAAGAGATAGATTGGGAAAAAGAGATTGAATAATGAAAAGATCAAAGAATAGATTCTCGTAGATCAAGGTTAGTCTTCTTACTATGATTCATGTACTCGATGTATGTTATATTGTGAAAATCAATAATCTAAAGATCCTGTAGAGTAGTTTTCCATAATGAATTAAGAACGTAGGAAAACTACATTATAATTTTACATGTGGTATCAGAGCACTGATTATTAGATTTATGATTTTCCTTGTATGAAAGTTTTCTCAAATATTAATTTTTTTCCAAATTAAGATAAACCCTAATTATGAATTTAAGGATTTCTCTATCAGATTAGTATGAACCCTAATTTATTCCCAAATTTAATTTTTCTCAAAATTGAATAAATGGATAAGCCCTAATTTATGGATAAGGCTGCAATCAATTTCAAATTGAAACCAATTTGATAAACCTTGTGTATCAATGGTCACGTAATCCTTTTTAATTGAAAAGAAAAGACAAATGACATGATTGGGTTATGGCCTTACAATTGATTTTAATTGAAAAGGTGAATCATGTATGAAATTGGTTTCATTGCATGTTATACTTATAAATGTTATAATTATGATGGAAGAATGATAAACTGTAAAGTTGATAAAGAGAACGTGTTAAACACACATGTTTCATATATTATATTATATTATTTATAATATTATTTTGTATGTACATATTGGTGACTGCGAAAGCCATTTTTCCCCTATATTATTTTGTCCCCATATTATTTGTACATTATTTTGTACGTACATTTTTTTTATGTGGGTGAAGGATAATTAAAGAGTTATTTTTATGTTAAGGTGAGTTGTATAATATACTCATACTGTAAGCTTTGTTAAGGGTACCGTAAGCTTTGTTAAGGGTACTGTAAGCTTTGTTATGGGTACTGTAAGCTTTGTTATGGGTACTGTAAAACTTTGTTAATGTACCTATAATGTAAACATTGATAAATGAATGAATTTAGTTTTGCAAACTGAATTGTATTGTTTCCGCTATGTTTAAATTACTCATAAAAGTTTTGAATGGATGACAATTTCACTTTTACGTGAAATGCAAATAAAGGTCTTAGGATGAAAATTGAAATTATGAGTTTCAATTTTATTTATGACACATAATATTTTATTATGTGAATAATGTACATATTTATTAAAATTAATAAAAAAAATGCTATGAATGGTTAATAGCAATTAAAGATGTTATTTATTTAAAATTAAGCATGATAAATTTTGTTAGTCACCAAAGTGACCAAAATTTTAAGGTTATTTTGATTTCAAATTATTAATGATTTTATTTCAATTACCCATAGTATGAATGCTAAAATTATGAATAATGATTTATGGGTTAATTGAAGTTCATTATTATAAGACATTTCAGGATCACCCAAAGGTTGATTAGTTGT